ATAAAATTACTAGCTTTGACCCACACATTGTTAAAATAAAGAACATTATAATTATTACGACATACAGCTCAAATGGTATCAACCGTTATCAAAGAAATAAATATAATCAATTCAACAGGAAAATAAACGAAAAAAATCAAATTAAGAATAGAGTAGCGAATCTTTAGCTGTTAACCTGTAGTGCAATTAAGCAGCAATACTAATAGAAGAAAATGAAAATAACCGTTACGCACTCCTATTTAAGAGTGTCCGTGGATTGCTTTCTTCTGACGGAAAAAATTGGAAAAATGAAAAACTGCAAGTGAATAGGAAGAGTTTTCAGAGTATCAGGCGAACATACGGACACAATCCCCTGATGACACTTTAAAATTGTAAACTATTAAAAGGTTTGTAGAAAAGAAAAGAATTAAGAGGAAAAAAAGGACAGCAAAATAGAACAATGAAAAAAATTCACAAAAGGAAAAGAAGCACCGGAAAAAACAGCCAGATTACATTTCTTACATGACTTGTAGTAAGACCAACCCCGCCCCGCCTCCTGCCCCCGAAAAAAAAAAACAATAAAAATAGAAAGATTCATTGCAATAAACTCAAATCATATCTCACTTCATATAATAAGCTTTCCCGGTTTCTCCAGACATAGCGATAAAATTAAAAAAGGGACACACGGACATAAAACGTCTGCAAGGAAGGGAACTAGTGAAAATTTTAACTTTGCGAATTCTTAATTGAGAAGGTCAACATAAATAACACATGCACGCCAAACAGAACAACAAAAAATGAAAAATCTGATAAAATTTTGCACTTAACTACAGAACTCAGAATAAACGGATCAAATGATAATATTCCCTTCCCTACTTCAGCCAGAAACAGAGAGCAGACTACGAGGACCACGTTTGATAGCCAAGAAAGGTGAGAAACAATTTTCCCTTTCAATTAAAATCTTTTACTTTTTTGGCTCATTTAAGTTGAAAGTTGCCTCGGAGCAAAGCTAGGCAATATGATTCAAATTTTGAGGGGATTTAAGGAATGAGAAGCTAAATTTAACCAGAGTGATTGAAATCTCCAGGCTCGTTTTCAATTTCTTCTTTGTCACCAGCCTTTTATTTGTTCGTTTCTTCCTTTGCATTCACACCCAAGACAATAACAAAGGGAAAAAAGGAGCCAACTTTTCATACTCTTTTCAAAATAAAATAATTATTTGACGACGGGAGAGGAAAAAAAATACAATGATTGCAACCTCTGCAAAGCTATGGTTTCCCCAAAATAAAAAGTGTTCGAATTCGAAAAATAAACAGGCAGAGATCTCGAATCGACACGAAATTTTCCTCCTTTCCAAAACAAGCAGCAGAAAATCATGAAATTCGTTTCAAAATTTATTTTCCTCCACACTGCTACCGAAAATAACAATCAAAATAACCAAATAAACCATTCAAATTTAGGCTGACAAGCATTGAAAAGGAAGAGGGGCAACTAAAACGGAAGTACAAACTACAAAGGCAACCAGCTATTTTTTTTTTTGAAGAAAAAAACCCACCTCTCTCTACCTTCAAATTCCAGAACATTCTCTCCAAAAGAGGCTTCTTCAACGCCAACATCAACATTTTCATGGGTCTCCTGAACCCCCTCCTCCTCACCCAACAAGTCACAAGAAGCCTCCCCGAGTCTCGGGCCATCCTCCTTGCTGCTCACGCGACCCAGAGAAAGTGAAGCATTAGATTCAGAGGCCGCGGAAGCGTGTCGGAGCCTGGAACTGGCCCTGGTAGTAGGAATTGATTTAGGGTTTTGAACGGCGACGGTGTCCTTGGAAGCCTGCCTCTGTCGCTTGGAGTAATGGGTACTGGGAATCAAAACAGAGGGCTTCTCAAGGCGGCGACTTCTGAGCTGAAGATAGGAACCAGAGGTTGATTGAGACTGAGATTTCTGAAGGGCTAGGGTTTTGGCGCGGGTACGAACACCGAAGGAGGAGGACTGAGAGACGTCCATAACAGCGACGTCCCCAGAGGTTTTGGCCTTCCTCATGTACTTGCCCATCAAGCTACTCCCACAGCTGAAGCCAAGAAAAGAGTGAGCGTGTTGTCATAAGGAGGAAGAGAATGAGAGAGGGGGAGAGCGAGAGGGAAAGAAAGGAAATACGACTTTCGCAATGCAAAGTATAAATGCTATTGAGAGTCTGACTGACTGGTATTGAGAAAAAGGGCAATTTGGTAGGGTTGGGGCTCCCCACCTTTCCCAGACTCCACTTCTCTTCCAATTTCTCGCCTTTTTCTTCTTTCTCTCAAATCTTCTCCGCTTTTCCCCTTTTGCCCCCTTCTCCTTTACAGTGTCTCCATTTCTTCCATGCAAATCAATTTCCATGGAACTCGTAGTTTTCATTTCAAGGTTTTTTTTTAAAAAGGTGGATGATTCTGATTATAAATAATTTATTGAAATATTAATTAATTTTTTTAATAATACTTCTATTTTAAAGTTTTGAAGCACGAGAAAAATGTAAAACAAATATGAAAAACTTTCATTTAAATATAAATAAAATCATATATTTAATCTATTTTAAAAAAAATTAATAATTTAACTACTTTTATTTTATTTTGATGAGGTGGTTAAAGGAGTTTTATAATAAAAACTATAATAATATATGATGATATGAGTATGAAGTTGATATAAACTCCAATTAGTTTTTTTTAACTTTTTTATTAAAAATATATAGAATATTTGATAAATTTTAAACTAGTAACTATCAATGCATAAAAAATGCCTAATTTTACCCACAGACGAGATCGGTTGGTTTTAGTTTATTTTGATGAATAAGTTTTAATTTTGGGATAATGATGAGCTTGTTTCATTACCAGAATTTTCAAATAAAAGGGCGCAGAAGGGGCAATTGTTAGCTTGGCATGACGAAACGAGAAGAAGGCGAGAAATAGAGGAGTCTGAGATACATTTGATAAGACGGCCAAGTCATTGGATTCTCTTTTTGAGTGGCCACGTGGAAAGTCAATTTCATTTTTATTTTATTTATTTCATGCCTCTTTCTTTCAGCGTAAGCTTCCTGACATCCCCACTCTCCTCAATCACGTATGAACTTCACGCGCTGACATGCACGAGGGGCCTATTCTTTATTTTAATTCAGCTCTGCAAAATAGGCCAAGTACTGCCTCCTTTGGAACAATAAATGAAGCGAAATTATTTGTAAAATAACGCCAAGTATAAAATAGGGAAAAAAAAAAAAACTATACGTCATATATATTTTTAACTTCTACAAAAAGATCACGTTTTTTGTTTTGTTGAGATGTCAATAATCTATGACCTTTAAATATAATAATCTCCTTTAAAAGGTCCTTGAGTATCATTTCTCCTATTATCTAACTCATAGTTGCTTGCACTGACTTACTATCCACTTGTCAATGATTTTTTTGTTGTTGTTTGCCAACACTTCCTATCAATGAGTATATTTTATCAAGGATTGGCATTTTCTAGTAGAGATTAAACAGTTAAAAAAGATATATTAATTAACACTACTAGACACGATCATCAACATACAAAAAATAGGTTCTGTATAATTCTTTGGGTTCCAATTTGTTATGAGAAAAAAGAGAATGACAGAGGTCATATTTCTTTTCCTTATCCAACAAACCTCAAAGGCTTAAACATGCTTTGTCTGAAGAGTTTCAGGACGTTGCGGCTGATTCCAATTTGGCAACTCCACAAGGACTATTCTTGCCCTGTTTAATATATTTATTCCCATTATTTCATGCATTGTTCGCTATCCCATGCATCTTTCCCCATGTACTGCTTACGTGACTGATTTTTTTTTTTTCAATTAAATGAAAGGTGAGCATGAAAATCTCTTTTCTAAGAAAAAAGCACTCCAAAAGCTCCTTTTTCCTCGACAATGTCGATACTTGTAGCATTTTTTTTTAATAATTAAATGTATGTCAAAGTCAATATATTTTCTTTTTGAAAGAATTACATTAAATTTTTTTATAAAAAAATTAATTATTATAAAATTTATTGGCAACTGTATTAAATTGTATTGATATCTTAAACTTTATAATAATTAATTTTTTCATGCGAGATCTTGTTGTAATTTTCTTTTCTTTCTTTTACCAACGTACTAGTACGTTTATATTAAGATTTGAATCACCATCATGGAAGTCCTAATTAATATCACTGGTAATATTTCATATTGCCCTTCGTCTATATCGGGACCCCAGTCAAATCGTACAATTCAACTGTTGGCATAATTTTAGCAATTAAACTCTTCACATAATTATTAATTTAATATTTTTTTTATTTTTTTTCCTAATGATGGCACTGAATTGTATTGGTTTCTTTAAGTTCAACAAGATACATTTCATGTTCCAGGGCTTTTGGCTTTTTGCATGGCAAGATACACCTTTATTTCCCTCATTTCAAAACACGTGCATATATTCACGTAGCTGTAATGAAAGCTACATTGCTTGACAGAAAAGATATCACAAAGAGCCTACAGTTGAATTGAATAGTAGAATCTCGACACCACTTCAAGTATTGTAAATTGTAAAAAATTAATAAATACTCAAATCTTATAAATGAAAAAAATATCATCAAACTATTCCCCATTTAGATTTGATCATGCTCAGCTTTGAACAAGTCATCAACTACATAATAATTTATTTTGTAAGAAATTAAAATCGACATAAACTTGGGACTGAAATTAATTTTCCAGGAAAAATATCATAGGAAAGAATCGAAATGAGTTCATAAGGCAAGACAATAATGGATTTTCCTTTTGGTTGCTTGAAGCAGGTAAAATACACAGTAAGATAGAACTCACTGGAAGAATAAACATTGCGGAGGATAAATAGAAGATTAACACTAGGGCACTGGTTTAACAGGAAGCAATCATATGAACAATGATAAAAGAAGGTATAATAAGGTGAAAAGCCCCAAAAACGGCATCAATATGATGAGAAAAAGAAAAGGAAGAAAGAGGAGAATTTTAACGTGAGAGACTTAAAAGAAACGTAAACAGTAAACACATAACTCCCTTATTAAATTAACACGGTAAATATTAAATAATGAAGAAGTTAAGGGAGACAGAGAGAGTAAAAAAAAAAAAAAAGGAGGGGTAGTGGCATGAAAGATTTCTTTCCCCCTTGTTTCAAATAAAATTTTCAACAGCTTCTTGTTCAGACTCTGGCTGCCCTTAAGAATATAACAGGTAGTAGAACACTTGACTCGGCTGTTTCAACCATAAGAACAATCAAACTCATTTCCAAATCTTGACGGACTTGTCATAACTTGCGGAAGCAACCATTCCTGACACTGGTGATTGTGCTAAAGCCGATATCACACACTCATGAGCTGGTATTGTCATGGATCTATTCTCTGCCACGTTCCATAGCTCCAAAGACTGCAAGCCATAAATGATTCATAGGAAACCGTTAAACTAGGAAATCATATGACAGGATGCATGACAGTTGAATCAGATCTCTCGGCCATGAATGCGAAACATAATCTGAGGAGGGCAGTAAAGCAGCCTATAAATCTTTACCTTGTTCAATCATAAAGTTTAGACCAGAGGCCTCTGAGACTTAAAAAAAAGGTACAAACCCAGGCAAGCAGCAGAAGAAGAAATGAAAAAAAAAAAAAAAGAGAAAAAAAAAGTAGTAGAGGAAATATTAGGAAATAAGTTTATATATTTATTATCTATCTTCTAATATTTAGATATGGGACTTCTTTCATGCTTTGATGAGAGCATGTTAATTATTTCATTATTTGGTGCAACCCAAATACTCACGCAGAATCTCAAGTATCTCAGATATCCGACAAATTAGGGAGCAATCAATGTTATACAACCTTAACTAGAGTTATTTTAGAATCCTGATCCTAATTATAAAAACAAATATACTTACTATTTGGAAGAAATTGTTTCTGTTAGGACCCACAACAAAAGTATATGATTCTAACATGGATTTATATTGATCTGTAAGCTCTCCAGTCTCACAAGCTAGCTTTATGAAGTGTGGTTCTGCCAGAGGTTTCTATCAGCTAATACCAAAGTCTCACACAACGCTCTAGCAATCATGCAGCAAAAGTGGCTATGCTGATATAGTAGCATTTCCTTAGGACTAGAAAGCTAATCCCAAAGCATGACAGCATCCGCCCCAAGCCATAGAACTTGGTAATATGTAGAACCCAGCTGCAAGTACGGTGAGTCCCACATTAGATGCGTGGGCTTATAATGTGACATTTAGTCCAGTTTCGTGAACCAGCTTTCAGAGTTATCGCTCTCCCAAACGTTCGTACAAGTCTCTAAAGAGCTTTCTCTTCCAGGTTCCTATATAGCTAGCTTATGAAATTGATTGTTTACCTCCTTATCTACACTCTGCCCATCCACATCTTTTACACACTTAACAAAGTTAATAGCCTGTATCTATCTTGGTTCTAAGGAAAAGGAGAGCAGAACAGTAAAATTGAAATAAGAAAACCATAAAATATCAAAAAGGAAAAGAATAGCAAGAAACAAGAAAAATGAAATCATTCCTACAACATGAAATTTGACTTGGTCAAATATACCTGGTAACCTCCAATAACCAAGAGAGTGGAGTAGCTTGGGTGAAAAACACAAGAATGGGACATGTGCCCACGGGAGTTAAGCTCGTGAAGGCAATCCCCAGAGGCCAATGACCACACTCTGACAGATTCTTGACTCACAGATGCCAAGTAATCTCCATTGGTATCCCAACAAACAGAATGCACATCAGCAGTGTGCCCCTGAAAACAAATGAAGTGCCAATTTTTAGCCGGATATTGTGATAAAAGAGGTTGCTGGAGAACTTTCATTGCATCCCATTAGTTCTCCAAGAGCTTGTCTCGTGTTTATACCTGTAATGACAGCACCAGCCTGTCAGTCTCAACATCATAGAGGGACACAACATTACCAGCCGCTGCAGCCAGAAGGTGTCCTGTTCTTGGCTGAAACCTTACCTGTGCAGAGCCTCCCTGCTTGATTTAGATATTGAGGTTCAGAACACGATATACAAAAATCCATCACATCTTTGATAATTATGTCAAGGTTCAAGAGTGACCTTGGAAACACGAGAGCAAGAATGTTGATTAATATTCCAAAAGCGAATCTCACTGTTTTCATCACAAGAACAGAAAAGATCATTTTTCTTTGGGTGGAAATCAAGGGACTTCACATGAGCGGTGTGACCAGTATATGTCTGGAAAAAGAAGTTTGGCTGCCAAAGAGAAAAAAGAAAGAGAGACAAGTAAGAACTAGAAGCATTTCAATCTGAAAACAGGGAAAAAACTGGCATGAAATGTAGCAACTAGTGACTAAGAGTCAGTAACTGATTAAGCTCAGGACCAGAAACAGGATGCTTTAGAATCAAAAAAGAAAAAATAAAATTAATAATGTAGAATTATGGTCCAGTTTTGATCTTGGGACTGACTGTAACATATATATATATATATATATATTTACAATAGCAGCAAATTGCTCCCTTCTTGGTTGTGAGATGCCTAGTTTTTTTTTCCCCCTTCTCAGCCATTGTTCTCCTCATGTTTCTCTGACAGCACTAAAAATCCTTTCCCTCTAAAACCTAATGGCTCCTCACTTAAATTAGCCCTAAAATCTATTAATCGCAAACCCCATTCCCAGAGACACTATCCACATCACACAACCAGCTAGAAACCATACCCTAAACAAGCAATGCCCTTCTCATTAACATATTGGCAGTTAACCTACAACCCACTAATTTTCCACCTCAGATCCAACCTTGAATCATGATTTTCAGGATGCATTCTTACAGCAGCAATTTTAATGAAAATGAAATAGAATATATGACAAGTCTTAGAATGTATTAAGAATAAGAATAAGAATTAAAACATATATACATATATATATATATATATATGAGTTCTTTCATTACTATATTGCATGGGTTCTAGTTTATAATAATTACTTGAGATGGTCCATGCTGCAATACGGAAACCCATCAATCATCTTTGCCAAATACCCTGGTCCTAAACAACGAGAAATGTAAAACATAAAAAGCCAATCCTTTTCAACAATCTTCTTTTACCTTTATTAATTTAGAAACACAAAGCCACAGTATCCACATCAAAAAATAACACCTTGAGCTAAGGGGGAAATAAATGATGGCAAAAAATATATTTACATAGAAGCAACATATCAAATGGTCGAAGGCAACAGTATAACATTCATGCAGAAGACATTACATTCAATAAGAAGCAGTACATCTCAATATATGTAGAATAGATCAAATGTAAGTTTCTATTTACAGCAAAAAAGAGTGTGAAAAGATATTTACATCTGCAGCATCCCAAAGCCGCACAGTTGTATCAAATGAAGAAGTTGCAAGCTGAGATGAATTTGGTCTGAAGCGAACATCAGTAATAATAGAAGAGTGTTCCTCCGTAGAGCTCTCTGTTTGTAGTGTCTCCATGTTCCACAGAAAAACCTACTGACAGTTGGGAAAATGAGTATCTGCATATTCTACAGGACATATGCTTTGTAGATTCAGCATAGATTAGTTAGTTTAAACATAGGTGCTGGCAGTGGTCACATCATGTATGATGGCCCCTAGCTGATATGCATTAGCGCAGAGCATTAAATTAATTGATTCTCTTGTAAATTTAAAATGGAATGAAAGGAAAACCTATTAAGTTTTTACTTAAAATGTCAGCCAGCAGCTATATAATCAACTTTACAATATATTGTTTCACCATGAAGAAAGAAAATAGGCAATCCTGTTTTGCAAACCAGCGACCTGCCTGGAAGCTCTACGCATAAAATAAAATCCATAATACCTTCTTGTCATGTCCAGCACTGGCCAATAACTTCCCATCGGATGAGAAATGACAGCAAACAACTTTGCCATTGCTCTTGCGTATAGACCCAACTTCACTAAAGGAAAAGCCTGAAATAAAAGCAATCAAACCGCCAAAATAGTCAATGTGACATGCATATATTAGAACAATAAGAGTATTAAGTCACCTTTTGAAGCATCTGTTGTGTGCTCAGAAGTGTTCCGTCTCAAGGTGCCAAACAAATCTCTTCCGTCACCATCATCTTGTGAGAGAAAAGACTCCACATTATCATCTAAGGAGCCAACATCTCCAAAACGTTCCATGTCATCCTGCAACTAAAAGAATGCGATGTGTCAAGTTCTGGTTTTAGCCAGCAACATAAGAAGTTTCAGCATAAAATATGATGGAGAAAATTTTTTTGTAAATTAGTAAGGGAAAAAAAAAATAGAAAGTTTAAGTGTCTGAAGTCTAGAAGCAAAACCATATATATATATATATTATAAACACTTTACTGATGTTATCAACATAATTTAAGAAATAATTGTTTTTAGAATGAATGAAATCAAATTCAGCCTACATAAAGTTGATACAACTAGAGCGAAGTCAATCTTATTGTCGTCCTTGAGGTCTTGAAGTAGTGCTAAGAATATGTAATTAAAGCATCTCAAATGCCACGTTTTTCTAACATGTTTTGTTCAAAGGATATATGTCTTCAGCAACAAAATTGGCCAGAAAAGGCAAGAAACGTGTATTTTACATTCTTCTATTCCTAGTTTCCTGTATGTGAGGTGGTACTAAATTGTTTCTTTTACATCGACTATTTTTGTTTGCCAGCAACACAAGCAGAAGATTCTACTTCATCACATGTTTCGCAGGTTATGCAAGTTACATATTCAATTTTCTTTACCAGTTGACTTGTGGACGATGCAAGACCAACTGTGCCATCCACACCATACATCATCAAACCTTTGGATACACCACCAACATTCTGCAAGTTACCAGTCATCGCTACTCCATCACAAGGAGTATGAGTAGATGGGGTTGATGGCTGGGAATTAGAAGGGCCGATCGTGTTTCCAGTACCAGTGCTGTTGGCAGCTCCTGAAGATGTAGGCCCTTTCCTTTTCCGGTTATTCTATTTTAAAAAAAAATGAATAACAGTCACAACATTCAGAAAAAAAGCATATAAACTAACCAAAATGAAAGTTGCCGAAGTGATAAAAGTAAAGATAGAAACAAACCTGCTGCAGTTGCTGTGGATGCAAAGGATCCTGCTGTTGCTGAGTGGTAGATTGTTGCATCTGTGGCATGTTGATCTGCAAGCAAAACACAGAACACCACATCAACTAACAGCAACCTACACTTGGAGTTAAAAAGCAGATGAAATTTCACTGATAAATAAATCATAAATAAAAAGTGTTAACAGTCAACTGAATAGAATATACAAAGAAGGTGGATGACATATGCAAAATTAGAAGATTCTCAAACTTCATACTATTATGGCACATCAGAACCTCCCATATTTTCTTGATTTGTTACTCTTTTTTTCCTTCCTTTCTTTGGCGAGAGATTCGTCACTCATCATGAACAGTTATCAATGCTATCTAATTTTCTGAATGCTGAATTCATTTTGTCAAGAACTATCAAATCCCAAAAGCTTAAGGTGATAGAAGAAAGTTCAAACAGTATCATGAGATAAAACTTTAACACACACACACCCCCAAACAAAAGACCTTTGGGCTTTGAAGGCTGAACAACAAACAGGTCCATTACATGTTGCTCTGAAATTTAATTTGATTGGGAGTAGAGGTCTCAAGGGTCAAACTTGTATCCTGACCACTTAATCATCAAAGCTTAGATGCCATGTCAAGAATATCATATCCCAAAAATTTTATGATGGAGAATCGGAAGAGATCAGGAAAGATGTTGTTGTTATTGTTGTTAATTATAAGTAAATTAGGCATCAAAGATAAATTTAGTAAATGATATTCAGATAATATTTTAAATTATTTTTGTTTTATGATTATGCTTTTAATTTTAAAGCTAGAAGGAATTATTCCGTACAAGTATCGGATACGATACGGCATGATACGCAAACACAGTAACTTTCAAAAATTTTAGGTTACAGGTACGATTATATAAATTATCAAATATTAAATATTTAGAGACATTATCAATTTCATAATTTCATATTATATTAAAGATCTAATTTTCATTAAAAAATTGAAAATAATTTCTTGCAATTTTAACATGAAAGAGCTAACAAAAATTTAAAACAAACCAATGTTTCACTCAATAAATAATCCATCAAAATGAAAAATAAATAAATAAATCAGTAGCATTATTCCATTTAACAATAAGTCAACATTTAAAAAAGATTAATGGCAAAAAAAAAAATTAAAAAAGATCATTAAATCACGTGACCAGTATGGGTGGCTCTCAAAATTGGCACTTTGGCTTTAACTACACTGGACCAGATAACAAAGGTAGGCAATTTCAGAGCTGGAACTCTGCACAGAACGGAAGAACGAACAAACAACCAGAGATTAGAGAAGAAGCACCGAAGAAGAAGATGAAGAACTTACCTTGAACTTGGAGAGACAAAGCAATGGAATCATGGACAGCGGGATAGATGATGCTCGAAGTGACTGAAGAGACAGAGCACCGCAATTGAAGACAGACGATGCTCAGAGAGACAGAGCAAAGCTAAACATGAGACGAGACGGATTTTGGGAGTGAAAGGGGAAAGGATCGACTGGCAAATAGGGCATCTAATTTCTGGAAGGAAAAAAAAGAGAGGCCAAAACACAGTTTCGGGTCCAACCTTTGTCCACCCGAACCTGCCTGTGTCCACCCGTGTCCGACTGAAAAAGAAAAAGCAGATGCACTGCATCCACGTCTTGAATGTGTGTCCATGTTGAATACGCATTCAACACAGACACGGCGGCAATTTTCATGCATCTGTGCTTCCTTTTCAGATTTGATTGGAGCGTAACCTGGCTTTGATCACAAAAGTGATGCGGGACAAGGGGGAGGAGTAAGTAGAAAGGAGGGAAATAGAGGGAAGTTAGGAGAAGAGGAAGGTGGAAGAAGGAGGAGCAAAAGAGAATGTGAAGGGAGGAGATCCAGACTAGGAAAATATTTTCTTCTCCTACCAAAAGGCCCCCCAGCATAATTGGTAAGGGCTTTATAGAGAGCCTTGGAACTTACCCCCAACGTTTTCACTTAAACATAAGTAACAGTGTTAGCTGATCATCTTGAAAAACTTTCTTATTCTGATGATGCTATGAATAATGACCAAAGGAATGGTGGTACTTTACTTTTTGGGGCAGGAGTTGTATCAATACTTGGCAAATAACAAAAAAGTAAGAAGGGATAAGGGGGAAATGTATATTCTGTGGTAGTCTATATTCACACGAAGACATAGTTGGCTTATTATGTATTAACAGGCCAGTCACTTGATCTGCGCATCATCAGAATAAAATAAACTCATTGGAGGGAAAAAGACTCGATGATTTTAACATTCAAGTGTGCTCTATGGCGTCTATTTTCCCATTTCACAAAGAACGAAAGGCAATGAAGCAATGAAATAGGACCAATAATACCTTAGATGAAGTGGATTGCATTGGAGAACCAATCGATCCATCATTTGCAATCGGTTGGCCATCTTTTGCATTCAAACTACCCCTAGCTAATCCCCTCAATCGTTGAGGATCCATATCTGCGTACATTGATGAACTGGTAATATTACCTTGTGCCTGAACCTGAGCCAGGAGTTGCTGTTGTTGTTGTTGGGGCAAAAGCTGGAACTGATTTGCACTTTGAAGGAGAGGTTTTTGAACTTGTGCTCCTAAACCTGGTCGAATTTGTTCTATGCCCTAGATAATTTGATGATTCTGGGTCAATTACGTTGACAGCTGGGTCAAAGAAAAATTCAATTACAACTCAGAACTTACAGTTAAAGGCCATCCTTTCAGTGTGAGACCACCGACCCCTGGATTCAATCCTAAAAATGATAAGAGAACTATTGAAATCAAGCATTATGATTAGATAAGCACGTGTTGCTTAAAAAAAATAATGGGATCCTCATATAACGTGAAATGAGAAGATAATCTAGAAAATTATATTGTGAAAAAGGAAACAGCGAAGAAACCCAAACCTTAAAAAGAAGAACTAACTAAATTCCTTATTCTAACATGTTTCATTGCTTGTTACTTACAATATGAAATTACAGAATCACCATCTTAATAAAAGCAACACATTCTTAAATAATTTTTCTCCTAGAAGTATTCGAACCTGGATTGACTATTCCTGGTTTTGACTGCATTGCTCCCTGCCCGTAGATTGAGGAAGGATCCATTGGCAAAGATCTTTGCATTCCACCCATGTTGACTTCACTTTTAATGTCCTGCTGAAAAAAGAAAGAAAGATTTCAGCATCTTAAACTAATGGAGTGAAGAAGAAATCTGGGAAATTAAATGAAGCACAGAGTAGTGCAATTGATTACAGGAGTCTGCTGATTTCGAGCCTGCATGTGGTGCAAAGCTGCAGTCACACTTCCAGTATTTCCTTGAACCATCTGACTGTTTGGCAAAATAGACCAAACACATCATATTTATGTGTACAAGTACTTAATATGCATTTGTAGTTATATAAAATCTACCGATGAATTTACCCAGGATGACTTGTTGTTGACTTCAGAAGGGCCATTCTAGCATCTATAAGTGGTTGGGATGTCTCCGTATCCATTGGGTTAGAGTGTTTCATCCGTTCCTCATACATTTTAGCAGCCAATGCACTGGCAGTAGGTTGCCCAAGCATTCCTTCAGAAGAAATAGCATTTACAGTACCACCAATAGGAGGATGATTAGGATCCCTCCTTTGAAAATGAGCTTGACGCATAAGTTGAAGCTGCTGCAGTTCTTTTGCTTTAATCTGTTGAGCCTGCAAGTTATCAATAAAATGGTAAACGACTTTGTCATTATAAATATTACCCAGTAAATCATCACCCGATCAGACAAGATGTTAACAGCTACCCCCAAATATGCTGCAGCAGACTCAGAATGTTTCTCGTTTGTCCTCGCAATAAAAATATCCCAGAATACAGACCACCACTCAAAAAGAAACCCTCCAGGAGCATCAATTGCTGCATTTTGAAACATAGTTATAATTATGAGCACTTTGCTTAAAATATTCCATGCACTTTCAAAACAATGCTGAGATAAGTCCACCAGATGAAAACGGAGATAAATATTGCATGCAATGTTGACACTGGAGGAATTTTAAAACGGGTCATGAATTATGGCTGCACGAGCAAATCATCATTTTATATAACATCCGCCAGAGAGCAACTAAATTAACTACTTAAATTTTCTCTTACCTACTGGATCTGGCGCAACCTTTCCTTCTGTCATGAATGACTCAGCAGTATTATGCAATTTTTTCTTCACCAAATAATCATAGATATAGACATCAAGCCTGGCAGCCAATAATCACATGTTAGTAAGTAAACAACGGAATTCTGAAGTAATCTGAACAAGACGTGTGAATAAGTAGCTACATCTTATCTGCTTCCCAGTTACTCTGCGCCATTTTGCCGGGTCAATTATAAAACAACTGCTCGAGACGAAATTTTTCACTGTAAGCGGCTAATTAAATGGGAGAAAGATAAATTAAGATATAATTCATGTCATAAATTAGACAAATTTTCCATAGAGATATCGATAAGCTCATCGAATGATCAAAATGGCAAATCAGAATCGAAATTGCAAAATAACGGACTATAATTGCATTGTTATGATCCTACCTCAAAAACCAACAAAAGACGGATCAAAATCCTGCATTACTCAATTGTAGGCTGCTCACATCGAAGATGAACACCGAGCCACTGATGGATCATCGCTCTGTATCCAGACATCGCCAAAGAAAAAGATCGATCCTCGGTAAATAAGAAAAAGGCAATTCAATTCAAACAATTAAATACGTTCATTACCTATCAGTGAATCATAAAAAAAAAACGAAAACAAAACTAGGTTAACAAGCCAGTGAGGACTATCAGGTATCAAGTATCGAGTTCGAACGGAGAGGGAGAGAGTGTGTCGGAACAAGGTCCGCAACTCAGGGTCGTGATTTCGCCGAAGCTGAGGTTCGGTTGTAGCCCAGGGAGCATTTTCCGTTTTGTTTGGGTATCTTCGAAGAGCCCAGAAACGTTGAATAGTATATTGGACAAAGCCCATTTGCTTAATTGGAATGGATTCCAATAAATCCCACTGCTTATGCTTTTTAATATTTTTAATATGCTACGTAGAATGAAAAGTGAATATTTGCGGGGAAGGTTTATTCGCTATGGTTTAGTTACAGGATAAAGTAATAAAAATATAAATTTCAGCAACATTTTATTCATGTAGCATATATGTAACTATATGTGGAATAGCAAGCATGGGTCATTGGATGACAGGCGTCTTTTTTTCCCGAACTAAAATTTGGTGAAGCCACGTTGAATGCTAGGATTATATTTCAGTTGATTTTATAAAATTTGTCGTTAATGTCTTTATGGAATCAGTAGTTATCATTTTTACCTGCGGAAGCTCTGGAGAGAGAGTACTAATATCTTCTATGAATAACAGAAAATATCAGGTTAAAGCTTTGCATTTAAACAGTTCACTGTGTCCTCTCGTTGTCAGTGAACGGACCTATTAATGTCTTTGTGCACGGCTGTTCATCGCAATCTCGAAGGCAGAAGCATCTTTTTTTTTTTCAATTAAATTTGATTTGTGTTTAGTTGCCTTCTTTTTTTCAGTCCTCGTAGGGACCCTATCATTGTTAACATTGCTGCATTTTTATGACTGAGACTCGAGATTACTAGTTAAGATAAAATAATCTCTTATTAATTGACCAGGGACTTGGTGGTGTTTAATTACTTGGCTATCTTCATATCATAACAAGTTTCGCTCGCTTACATTTCAGGTCATCGTGCACAACCTACTTGGATTTTGTAAATAAATTTTTGTAGTTTTTCTGCAGTTGCAAAATTTTGAAAGATTTGTGTTGTGCGGTTGTTTTTTCACTTGTTATCGTTAGAGGATGCCACGTGAAATGTTGTTATTGACATTGCATTATTGCTGACTTTGACTTTTGATATGATATATTAAGAGGCTGGCTTCTGTTGGCGAAATCAAAACCCCTCTAAAAGGCTCTCTCATATTTTGATATGGACGCTGAAAGTTGTTTTGGGTTCATCCTGCTAGTTTTGGGAAATTTATTTATTTATTCACAGCATAAGCTACTCCATAGTTTATTGCTTTTTTGAGGACAGAAGAGGATATGATCTTGAAGTGTGCAAGTAAAATTTAAAGTTTGACATTGTTTGAAATTTATATTATCACTATCAATAATGTTTGCTATTCTGACCTGTTCATTATTTTTATCCCCTTTTTTACTATGGTGAAAAAGTGACCTGTGACTCGATGAACTGGCCCATCTAGTTAATTTGGATTTGTAAAATCTCTCTCCACTAAATACAATTAATCAATATAACTTATGGTAATCAAATGATTAGCTTAAAGAGTGATTACGAAGGTTTAATTCAAAAGCAAAGGATTTCAAATTTTTCATAATAACAAAGAATTTAAAACGATCAAGATATCTTATATCAGAGTAAAAATAAGTTACGAAAGCATGAAATACCTCAGAGGAGTAAAAGAAATCAAAAATAAGTGAAAAATAATTTTTTAAATATGTGACAAGGCAATACGCCACGGCTCGTGCATGCTACACCGTGGCGTGTTGCATGAAAAGTCAGTAGATTATGCTGTCATTTAACAACAGAATCGATGGACTTCTGACATGTCTCGATTCTCTGTCCAATGTTTGAATGATGTGATTTACGTGTTTACGAAAAGCTCTATACATGAACTAGTTAATAGCATGAGTTTTATTTTCAAAGCAAGTCACATTAGGAAGTTGGACACCCAAACACTTTTTTACCACATCTCACAACTTTTATATAAAAAGGGTGTTCAAAATCCTCAACAAGTGCCAAAAGCCTTTCTTAGCATCTGAACCATGTCCATTGAACTTGGAACTATCAGTACAACATGTCACATGTACTTAAATAATAGTAGAACAAAATTTCATTTCTCAACCCCTTTTTACCAAAAATAGAGGGGGGTGAATTTTTCATTGCATTGCACCCAAATCAATCAAAACATGTTTAAATATCCATTTTTATGTTTGCACTAGTATTTTGAGCCTATAAACATATATATCTCAACATACACAAATACTTAGGGCCAAAAATACTAATCAAGCATTTGCAATAACAAAATAGTGTAAGTGTAATGGCATGCAACCTAAAATTGACAATCATATACTATTACATAAGATAAATCTAAACTAGAGGCATATAATAGGAATATACTAATTCCTAACTTTTTGAGCCTTCTCACTTTCTGCACCAGAGCTAGAGCCTGAAAAGTGTTAAATGAAATAGGTGAGTCTAGCTACTCAATAACTAAGATAAAACTTACCCTATACAGTTATATATTAAAACCCTATACAGTTATATATTAATTATAAAACCAAGCACATACATATGAAACTAAATACTTAGGACATGTGCACACACATATCATAACTTATCCGTTCTCATTAATAATATCTTTATCTCGCATATACTAAGTACATTGTCACCATATTCTCATATACATGACTATGACCCCTTATTCATGTGATTTGCCACAACTCACATGTGTGACACATCATATATTTATCTTAGCAATGATCAACCAACCTTATACCCTCTTTATTTCCTCAAATCGAAATCGTGGGCTATAACATTGATTAGGGCTCCGTCCGTATGACTAGACTACCCAAGCTTACCAATCGTGAAGTATGGCCCGACTAAAGATCATATAACACATTCTTAGAGCACAATTTTTCCCCATTCTCAAATCTCTAGAATGTCTCATACCTTAAGCTATTCTCCTCATTGAACTAGTAGAGATAACTTGGTTCTAGTCCCTTGACAAACTGTGAGATAAGGCTATACTCCTGTGCATCGGAAGGCAGCTTAAATACCATATAGATTTTTCTTTACTCCCAATTCGTAGGCAAACTCCCACCCATTAATTATGCTATAGACAATACTCACTCTTTTCACTCTTTTCTTTACTCATTGTTAAAATCAACACATTGGGCTCACGATTAAACACTACCCAAGTGCACATCAATTTTTTATCTTTCACTTATATCACATACACCTATTTTTCAATCACAATTACTCATCTTTATCAAATCAATTACTCGCTACTCATTTACAACACATCATCATATTCATCTTTCTAAAGATATACACATGTTCATAATTCAAAAACATCTTGATTTGGCATTAGCATTTTAAACCACAATAACATTATACATTTAATTTTCATACATTCATTGAAACCAACGCATGCTTTTCACATTGAAAATCAACTCATGCACACAACATTCACATAGAAGTCAAGTTACAATCAATAAATATATATTACCCAAAGTAAGATTTTCCTCAGTTATCTTAAACTTTTGAGAGGTCAAAGATTTATCCCTCAATCTACTAGCTTTCAAGCTTAAATTTTCAATCTAATAGGTGACTAAGGGCCAAAATTACAATCAACCAAGTTAAATTTTATCAACATTACCAACTCAAACATTAAACCCTCATTTCTCTACTTCTAAATTGCCCAATATTTATTCTACAAAAGTTTGAGCTATCCCTTAGTGTATTAATTATTTTTAGTCCCCAATAATATTGATGAACCATTAAATTTTTATTAATGGTATCACAATCTTCCAACTACCCATAATAAGTGAAATTTTCGGATATCAATAGTACCCAAAAACCCAAGACACCAAAAATTCATTATATTAGGTTAGATACTCTAATATGCTCTCATTAACTCTATTTGAGTCAATAAATTTGGACCCATATCCTATATGGATTGAAATCATTATCCTCATTCAAACTTTAACTTAAATCTTTGAGAAAATGGAAGAGGGAAGGAGAAAAGAATTTAGAAATCTTACTTTGGATGATTTAGAGCTTCAAACCTTCTCAAATCCTCCCTTAGACTGTGCCCTAGTAAAGAAAATGTGCATCTCCTCTGTTTTCCTTTTCTTTCCTTCTGTTTTTCACATTAGAATGCAACTAAATTCTACAGAATTTGCATCGTATGTTGCGACGCTTGTCCCCACACGTCACAGCATATGGTATAGAGAAGGAAGCTCTCGCCTGATAGCCATGTGCATTGTGGCGCACCATGCACACATCGCAGTATATGGCACAAAGGCTTTTTAGCTTATTTTTCTCTAATTTTTGGCCCCAAGTGACCCCATTTCAATTTAGACCTATATTATACCTGAAATTCTAACTAAAAACACTTATTATTCTCCTCTAATCACAAACCACATTAACCAATTTAATTATCTTTATTAATCTTAGTAAATCAGGGAATTAAAAACTAAAATGTTATAGGATTAGCTTGAACCCAAAAAAAATAAAAGAAATGGATGGTATAAAAATAGTATAAAAAATACTGGTTGTACAGGCTACCAGTAGACCCTCAAGTTGTCTGTTCCCACCATTATATTTACATATATTTTTTAAAATAAGTCTATTAGATTGAGTTTAAAATATAGTCCCAAAAAACTACACTACAAAGCCTAATCCATGAGCTTCTCTTCCCTCACATCTTCTCACCCTTTCCAGTCACAAATTTGCAATTCCCATTTCCCAAATCAAAATTCCCTTAACATCTTCCACTCTTCTCTCGCATCTTTCATTGCATATTGCCTAACATCACATGCTAAGGCTAAAGTCTTGCATCATAATATGAAGACAATGAGTCTTCACTTTTCATTGAAGACTGACTGAAGAAGTTAAGCTCCCCTTATGACTTACCTTCCTCTTCACATTGTGATATGAAGATGAACGATGAAGCTGTTACTAAAGAGATCCATTCTAGATCTGTGTATTGTAATATCCTCCTTCTTTAACTATGATTAACTCCAAATCTCAATTAATTAAGAGATTAGATTAAGGTAAAAATAAGTTTACCAAGTTTGTAAATAAATAATACAATTTGAATCCCAAGTTTTCAAAACTAAAAACCATTT